ACAAGGTTTTGGTTCATTGAATTTTTTTTCTTTCTTTTAAGGTCACTATGCTGCGGATCAAGTCCAGGAACAGATGGATAACTTGGATCAGAAATGGAATGACCTAAAGGTATAAGCACTTGCTCACTGTAGTGAATTACACTGTGAAAAAACTGAAAAGAAATATAAAAAAGTTAAATAAGTAGTAGGATGAAGAATGGAAGGAAGGGAAAGATGAAATTGTCGTCATAAGTACATGTAGTGGTCGTGTTAGTTGATGTTGAGAATACACTGAATTAAAATATGGTGACAAATTTGATTAACTGTTATTCTGCACAGACTAGCCTCTCATACATGTGAAAACRCTCTTATTTTTCCACATGAAACAATAGGCTGTTCAGTCACTAGTCATTGCAAAAAATAATTCTTTAAATTGGTTGCCATATTCCAATTTGGTGTATTGGGAAGCCATCAAACATTGATAATGATGATCAATGTGATCAGGATGAAGATGAGATGTCAGTAATGCAAATAAAGATGATGGTACATTAACRACTTAAATATATAATTGGTATAGTAATGAATGTTAATGTTGCTATRACGTATCCACAGGACAAGGCCAATACCCGCAAGGGCCATCTTGATGACTCTCTTCAAGCCCACCAATACCTTGCTGATGTTGACGAAGCCCGATCATGGCTGCTGGAGAAGGAACCCGTGGTCACCAGCGAAGACTATGGAAAAGATGAAGACAGTGCTCAAGTATGTATCTGTGATTTTTTTACATATATCTAGGTACAGAATAAGAAATCTATCACCGATTCGGAGACAAACTTAACTAACAAGCTTGTGTTCGGATGCATGCAGGCTAGTCTAGCTCTGGTGCAGGAAAAAAGAAAAAAATTATCATATGGGGCATGGTGAAGAAAATCAAACGTTCGTACTCAAGCTAGACCACAGTGCAACATGTTCTCTATCCCAGAATATATCTTTGGTTAGTAGCAATATTCTAATAGTTTTAACACTTCATTTTTTTTTTTTTTTTCAGGCCATGCTGAAAAAGCATGAAGCAATAATGTCAGATCTTGAGGCTTATGGCACAGTCATTGATGGATTGAGAGAACAAAGCAAGGAGTGTAAGGTAGGGGATGTTCCTGT